GAGAGGTTGGACTAATTGCTCCAGATTCTTACCAGGTCAGACACTCTGAATTTTTTTATTCTTTGCATAATTTCAGTAAAAAGGGTGACTTAGACTTACCCAGAGACCAGGAAAGAGAAGTCTTGGTGATTGTAACTAATCTGTCACCATCTTCTGTTTCTTCTTCCAGTAGGAAGAGCCTTCTTCCCTGAAGTTCAGGTCCCCTGCTACCACTTAAATTCTTGCATAAGTCGACTGGCAGTTCTCTCTGCTCTAACTTGCCCCTTCCGTCCCCAGGCATCCTTGCCAGGCACCACCACATTTCCAAACCCCCTGTTAGCACCATATACACTTATATAAGGAATAACAACTATTTCTTAAATGTTGTATTAGGAAAAATAAAATTCCTAGGTGCTGGAATAAAAATGCCACCCCCCCCCTTTTTAAAGCAGTCGACTAGATCATGTCTACTGCAAATAAAAAACAGAGATTGTTAGATTAGATAAAAAAGCAAGACCCAACTATATGCTGCCTAAAACAACCCACTTAAAATAGAAGCCTACAGGTAAGTTAAAATGAAAGGGTAGAAAAAGATGTACCGCACTAAAATGAATCAAAGAAAGCTGGGGTAGCCCTGTTAATAGTATCAGATTTCATGTCAAAGCAGATTTCATATCAATGAATATTATGGGGACAAGGGGGACGACTGCCGTAGTCGGCAGTTGCAGGGATGATGGCAGGAGCAAGAACCGTTTTCGGAAACACGCGATGAGAGATGCAGATATGCTTGAACTTGTCCAGCAGCCTTACCAAGGACGTGTTTGAGGAAATTACTGTAGTCTGATGCTTTATGTAGGACACAGTGTTGGCTTAGGCTTTCTCGGAGGTCTGCACTGTGGCAAAAAGGAGGGTGGGAGCTCTGAGATTGTTTGACAAATGCAGGGAGAGCTTCCATAAGAAATGGTGCTTAACACAAGTGACTAGGCAGACGCCTAGGGTAGTAAATCAGCTGCCTCTGGATCGGATTTGGTTGTAGACATCTTGTATTTGATCCATATGCTTGGTTTTTTTTTCCTCTGTATCAGTTAGGATCTTCTAAGCTGCATCTTCTAAATTGCAACTCAAAATGCTTAAACAATAAGAGGATGGATGATCTCACATAATGGAAAGTCTGGAGGCAAGAAGGTCGTGTCCAACCCAGTGGCACTGAGACCCCAGATTCTTTCCAGCTTTCTGGTCTTCGGCTGCCTTTTGGTTGGAAAATGACTGCAGCCACTCCAGGCATCTTATCCTGGTGTAAACCAGTGTCTAGAAGTGAGATAGGGCTATTGCGCAGCCCACCCCCAGAACTTCCATCTTGCAAAACTGAAACTCCAAACCCATTAAACGAGTGCCTCTTCCTCCTTTCCCCAGCTTCTTCCTGGCCACCACCAGTCGGCTTTCTGTTCCTGAGAATTTGACTCCTCCAGGCACCACATGCAAGTGGAATCAAATCTTACTTGTCTTTGTGACTTTTGTGCTTATTTCACCAAGCAGAACATCCTCAAAGTTCGTCCATGTTGTGACATACCTTAGAGTTTTCCTCCTTTTTTTAAAGCTGGATAACATTCCACTGTACGTTTACACTGCATTTTTGTTTACCCATTCAGCCATCGGTGGACATTTGGGTTGCTTCCACTTCATGGCTATTGTGAATGATGCTGCTGTGAACATGGGTGCACAATATCTCTTCAAGACCCTGCTTTCAGTTATTTTGGGAACATACCCAGAGATGGAATCTCTGGATCTATTTTTACTTTCTTGAGGAACTGGCGCACTGTTTTCTACAACGGACGCACCATCTTACAGTCCCACCAGTAGTGCACAAGGGTTCCAGTTTCTCCACATCCTGCCCAACACTTGCTATTTTCTTTCTTTTCTCTTTTTTTTTTTCTGTTTTTGTTGCAAGCATCCAAATAGATGTGAGGTGGTATCTCTGTGTGGTTTTGATTTGCATTTCCCTAATGATTAGTGATGTCAAACATCTTTTCGTGTGCTTCTTGGCTGTTTGGATATTATCTTTAGAGAAATGTCTACTCAGTCCTTTGCCCCTTTTTAAATCAAGTCTTCTTTTGTTATTGTTGTTGAGTTGTATTAGTTCTTTATATATTCTGGATACTAGCTTCGTACGAGGTATGTAATCGGCAAGTATTTTCTCCCGTACCCTAGGTGCCTTTACATTTTGTTGCCATTCATTTTCACTTTGCTGCACAGAAATTTGTTATTTTGATGGAGTCCCATTTACCTCTTTATATTTTTTAATTTTTTGCCTATGCTTTTAAAAAACACCTTTATTGTGGTGTAATTCCTGTACAGTAAACTACACATATTTCAGATGTACAATTTGATGAATTTTGATAGACGTCTACACCTATGAAACCACCACCACACCACAATCAAGATAGCTAACATTTCCATCACTCGCCAAGAGGTGCAAATTTCGAACTCCTGATTTATCTCTTCCTATCACTTTAACCTGCTGGCAACCTAAGTTTGTTCTCTATGTTTGTGAGTCTGTTTCTGTTTTGTAGATAAGTTCAATTGTGTCTTTTTTTTTTTTTCAGTACTTCCACATATAAGCAATATCATGGCTTATTTTTCTTTCTCTTTCTGGTTTACTTCACTTAGAACGACAGTCTCCAGGTTTATCCATGTTGCTGCAAATGGCATTATTTTATTTGCTTGTGCTTTTGATGTCATATCTAAGAAATCATTGCCAATGTCATGAAGCTTTTTCTCTATGTTTTCTTCTAAGAAATTTAAAGTTTTAGGTCTTATGTAGGTCTTCAGCCCATGTTCAGTTAATTTATACATGGTGTAAGGGAAAGGTCCGGCTCCCTTCTTTTGCACGTGGATATCCAGTTTTCCCACCACCGTTTGTTGAAGGGACTGTCCTTTCTCCCTTGAGTGGTCCTGGCACCCTTGTTGAAGATCATTTGACCATATACACAGGGGTTCATTTCTGGACTCCCTATTGCATTGGTCTATATATATGTCTTTATGCTGGGACCACACTGTTTTGATTACTGCAGCTTTGTAATAACTTCTGAAATCAGGACATGTGGGACCTCCAACACTGTTTTTCTTTTTCAAGATTATTTTGACCATTGGGGTCCATTGAGATTCCGTATGAATTTTAAGATGGTTTTTTTTTCTATTTCTGCAGTCAGTGGTGTTTGGATTTTTGTAGGGGTTGCATTAAATTTGTGGATCACTTGGAGCAGTATTGACATATCCACAGTTCTGTCTTCTAATCCGTGAATGCAGGCTATCTTTCCATTTATTTGTGTTCTACCGTTTCTTTCAGCAGTGTTTTACAGTTTTCAGTGTAAAACTCTTTCGCCTCCATTTTGTTCTTTTTGATACTATTGTAAATGGAAATATGTTCTTAATTTCCTTTTCAGAGAGTCACTGTCTGCCTCTGCTGTTATGGAAGGGAAGATTGGTTATCTTGCTACTTTAAGCTCCCTCTCCTGCATGACCGGAGACTTTTGAACTGAATGACAGCTGCTCCTGTAATGGGGACATTTGTTCCTGCTTTGTCACCACCCCTATCCAGCCAGCTTCCCTCACGCTCCCCGCCTTGCCTCTGTGAGCATCGGCAGCTTTGACCCCTTGTTGTGTGTCCCCGGTGAGGGCTGCACGCTGCTGCTACTCATTGTGAAGGAGCGAGGGTGGTAAATTACTCCAGTCCAGCCTGGCAACTGGACAGGTTGACAGAGTGAAATCTAAGCTCATGTTCATGTTCTTGAAATTTATCTTTTTTAAAAAGTGTATTCCACTATTGATTTATTTATTTTTGTATTTTTAAGGGGGAGGTAGTTTAGGTTTATTTATTTATTTTTAGAGGAGGTCCTGGGGATTAAACGCAGGGCCTCGGGCACATTACTCATGCGTTCTACCACTGAGCTATACCCTCCCTCCTGAAATTTATCTTCAAGCACTGAATGATTTTATGACAAACATTTTTAAAAGAAAATTTTCGGAAATACATCGTGTGCTTTTTTTTCCCCCTCTAAAATAGAGGATGCGGAATCTACTGTAAACTTTTCTTCATGATTTACCAAAATAGAGAATAATTGCTGTGCTGGGCAGGATAATAATGGGGTACCCTCAGGAGTTAATGAAGTGTGTGGGGTTCTTTGTCCCTTCGGTGGCTGCAGATGCCTGTGATTTGTGGGTTCCTGCATTTGCCGGGCATTTTTTCTCTCTTGTTGAGAGGTTCTTCTTGCTCCTAACAATGAGTCTGCCTGGGGCAACCTGCCGTGGCTTCCTAGCCCAGCAGAGTGTGGGCTGGGAGCTGAGAGCCACGTTTGTTGAAATCGCTGACAGCAACAGCAAGACTAGGCTCACATAGTCACCCCTTTGCTTCCAATCTCTTCCACAGGCAATGGGGGACCCGGTGAGCTCACTCACAGGTGGGCGTAAGGATTGAGAACCAAGAAGACCAAAGCCACAGGGGTCAGGGAGCTGACCCGGAGTGGGCAAGGCAGCAGGAAAGGCTTTGCTTTCAGGCAGACTCTCTCCAAGAGCATCACCCAGCCCGCTGTCCCCCAGCCCGTTGTCCCCCAGTCCTCTGTCCCCCAGCCCCTTGTCCCGCAGCCTCCTAACCCCTAGCCCACTGTCCCCCAGCCCCGCTATCTCACAGCCCCCTGTCCCCTAGCTCCGCTGTCTTACAGCCCTCTGTCTCCGAGCCCTGCTGTCTCACAGCCCCTGTCCCCCAGCCCCGTTGTCCCCCAGCCCTGCTGTCCCCTACCCCCCTGTCCCGCAGCCCCCTTTCCGGAGCCCTGATCTGTTAAGGAGCTGCCTGTTGTCATCAATAGAAAATAAAAACTCTCTTCTGCCTTCTCCATCTTTCCTCCCTCTTGGGTACCAAATTAATTTCTCAGTGAATTTAACACGATTTTATTTTTCCCTGTTCAAATTCCCTGTATTTGATTCTGTTCAAAAGTGAATTTTTTTTTCTCTCTAGAAAGATTTTATTTATTTAAACTTTTTCACTATGAGCGTTTTCAAACGCAATTATTAGGCAGAACAGAATAGTGAACTGTTACTTCCCCATCATTCATTTTACATCAGTTATGAATTTTTGCTGTTTTTGTTTCTCCTCTCCCCTGTAATGTGGAGGGCAGGGTGTGCAATATTTTAAAGCCACCATTATTTTTATTTCAGGGACACATTTTTAAAGGTTACAACAGATTATAATACCATCCATTATTGTCCACTATGAACCATAGTTATTTCTAGTCCTTCCAACAACCCTGTCATGTAAGTTATCCCCATTGTATAGATGGGGACATTGAGGTTCTGCCTTTATTTGCATCTAAGAGAAAATGGGCTAAATGATGTTATATTAGTTAGGATGCAGTTTAGGCTTTGGTAACAGAAAATCCTCAAGGGCAGTGACCTGAATGATTGAAAGATTTCTTTCTCTCTCATGTAAAAGTTCTACCAGGTCCAGACCATGTCTGGGGCTAGCCTGGTGGCCCAGTGGCCTGATTCACCAGGAGCCCAGGCTTCATCTGCCATGTTGCTCAGCTCCTCTCAGCGCCAAACACCAAGATGACTGCTCTGGGTTCCATCACTACCTGGAAGTGGAAAAGGGAATGGCTGAGGGTGTACCCATTCCCCTGAAGGGCTTCGTCCTGAAGCTGCGCACCTAGCTTCCACTCGCCAACTCTGCCCGGAACTTAATCACATGGTCACACCCGCAAGGGAGACTGGGAAATGTAGTCTTTATTTTGGGCAGCCTCTGGTCAACTGAAAACTAGGGGATTCTACTGTAAGTGAAGAAAAGGGGACAAACAGGAGTGCTTTCACAGGTGGAATGAAGGGTTCTTTTGAAATCCAGGCTGTGGTTTTTTGAGTTCTTTATTTTGGGCTCAACTGTGGTCCATTTAGTAAATGTAATGTAACTGGTTAAATTAGGGGTCGATTGTCCTTTGGTGAGAAACAGGATCAATTATTTAGTCCTTGTGCCCGTGAGTTTTTTGGTCAATTTTGTTGTTGTTGTTCAGAACGTTATAACCCTACTAGTCCTTTAAAATGAAATTTACCATAACAGCCAATTTACATCATGTGATTTAATCCCATTGTCCATAATGGAGAGACCCCAATTTCATACTATCCTGGCCCTGCCATTAATGAGTTTGGATTCAGCTTTGCTCTTTGCCACCTGGGTGCACGTGGATGAAATTCTTATCAACTTTCTCCAAACCTCCTTTTTCCTTTCTACGGACTAGGAATACTGCTCTCAGCCTCCATCGTCATGAAGAGTAATTAGATGATGGCTGAAAGTTCTTTGCACAGTGAACACTCGACAAACTGTGTCTCTCCAGATACATATGTCATTTGTCCCCCCAGTCCTATCATACTTAATTCCTACCATTTCTAAAAAGAATAACTAAGGCATTTTATAGCATTTTCATGCCTGTTAATTTGGGCATCACAAAACCTTGAGAAATAGGTAGAGCAGGTAGTCCCTAATTTTCTATTTTCCTGGATTAGGAAATGCAGGCTCAGACAGATGGATTCACTTGCCCGGGGTCCCGTCTTCCTTCTTGACTGGATCCTTCCCATGTGCATTTAAACCTGCATCTTTTAAAAATTGAATTATAGTCAGTTTACAATGTTGTCTTAATTTCTGGTGTACAGTATTACGGTTCATTTATACATATATATTCTTTTTCATATTCTTTTTTATTATAGGCTATTACAAGGTACTGAGTATACTTCCTTGTGTTTCACAGTAGGACCTTGTTTATCTTAAACCTGCACCTTAAACAAATAACAAAACAGTCCTCTTTCCAACCCACAACCCCCGTGGCCACCCCCATCTCTTACTTTCTCTTTTAGTCAAGACATGTTGCCTCCATGTCTTCACTTCAATTCACTCATCAGCCTACCCCCACTCGACTTTAGCCTTTTTACTAAATTTGCCCCTGGCAAAAGCCTGACCTTAAGATCTCTGCTCCCTTTTACTCCTGCCCCAGACAATCTCATTCATTCCTGTGGTCTCAGATGCCAACCAGAAGCTCAGTGCCCACTCAGACCAATTTACTGAGCTCCAGTCTCGACTCCTCTTGGGGTGGGAGTGGGGTACAGGTTAGGAGAGCCCTTTTCACAAGAGTCTGGGCGTAAGACAGACAGACCATGAACCAGAGTGGGGGCAATAGGACTTGAAAGAAAATGATGAATAAGATTGATGCTTAGAAGGATTCCCAGGACACAGAGATCCAAGGAGAGTCAAAGGCGACTCTAGGATTTTAACACTTGGCCTCAGAGTTAATGCTGCTGATGTGGGGAGGACTGGAAGGGGCTGCAGTATGTTGTATGCAGTGTGATGTGTGGTTGAAGACTTGAACCTGGGGTGAGGGTGGAACCTCTAAATGGAAAAGTTAAAGTGCCTTTTCCTTACAGTTTTCTCCTCCTGCGGAACCAGCTGCACATTCCTCCCCTCGCCTCCAACCAGGGCCATGCCATAATAACGCTGTCTTGGCTTGAGACAGAGTGGTAGAAGGAAGGGAAATATTTTGCTCCTCTGCTGGAGGAGGTCACTATCCAAAACCACAGTGAGCCATGGGTAGAATTTTTTAAAAAACCTTTATATAAAATTCTAGGCTCTTGAAAGTGTGTCTAATAGGTTTTTAAAAGACATTCAGGCAGACGCATTTGTCCCTGTCAACTTAGCATTGAGCAGCACTGGACCGGACATAAGATCTGAACATGGAGTTATTCACCCCAGGGAGTTTCTCAAGGTCTCTTTCATAAAATAAAAGCTATGATTCTACAATTCTAGGAGCTAGGTTTGGGAGCTTTAAGAAAATTGCTGAAGACTTCAACAACCTCTGAAAATTGAGTATCTGAAAACTTTCCTTTCCCTGAATTTATCTGGTGAGACTGTCATTCACAGGTTTGGCCACACAGGGGCAGCATGCACAAACTCACCTTTTCTTAAACCAGCCTGGAGTGGCTTTGCTCTTTAGTTCCCACTGTCACCACCTGGCACCCAACCTTCACACTGCTGGACCTTCGTCACCTCATTCCCGTGTGCAGGAATGGATCACTGGCTTTCTAACGCCCTCTGACAAGTTCCCTGAAGTGTGGTCAGTTAGCCGCCCAGTCTTCCTCCACATGTCCCCTGCTAACTCCAGTTTATCCCTTCTGACTCGCCTTGTCGCCCAAGCCCTAGCCAAGGTCTCCCCTGACGCCCACTTGGATGTCTTCTGACTGCTTTGCAGATCCCGGCAGTACCCGGTGCTGAGAACACAGCTACATCCATGGACGGGCTGAACAAGGCAGAACTCCAGCAGTCATGTGGTGAGCTCCGTCAGATGGGCTGTAAGTTGCCACATGTAAGGGGGTGGGCCCCAGGCGCAGAGATTCTGACTTTCAAGAGACCAGGGGTGGCACCCAGGTATCTGCATTTTAAGAGCTATGGATAGTCCACTGACCAAAGTTTGAGAAACATTGACTTTCTGGCTTTTTGGTCTTGGACATGTTAATTAAGCTAAGTCTCAATTTTCTTTGCAGAAAATGAGGAGAATTTAATGAAATGCACGTGTAAATGGAGTGTAAACTGGGTGCTTCCTGAGCACAAGGTGGTTGGCATTCAGATGTGCTCACCAAATGCTGGCTTTTTCTTTCCTTGTCCTGGGGTGGCTGGGCTGCTGAGTGGGTTTGGAGGTGGGTGGTGAGGGAGTTTCACGAGGTGGTTGTGTGTGTCGGGCTGTCACATGTGGTTGCACAACTCCAGGGGGTGCCATCCTCAGAGAATACATTGTGAACATTCTCTAGAACCTTGGGAGACCCCAGTCCTTCACAGGACACAGAATGAAGACGTTTGGGCTGGGGGCTCTGGAGAGGAACTTTGGGGACGTGGGGAACACTGAGTGACACAGCAGCTTTTTGACATAATGCTAAGTCTGGTTCACCTCCTCCGGCTCAGGACAAAGTCTAGAACCTTTCTAATGATAGGAAAAAGGGTTGCTAATTTCTCTTGAGTCACTGCCTCACCTCTCACTCCCCTGCTGGCCTGAGTGAAAGATAAACCAGCCTCTATGTTTGGACAATGAAGTGGCCTGATGTGCAGATGGAGCGAGAAAAGGCTGCCCAGCTTCTATGACTATTCTTTGCTGTCCTATGGTCCTGGCTACGACAGCGCAGGGACTTGGTCCATGGTCTCCAGGCCCCTGGACCAGTTCTGCCAAAGTCCCTGATAGGAAAGGGGCTGGGCCCCTTACTACTTGGAGAGTCACAGGGACCCAGATACTGAGAGGGTGGCGGGCAGCTGGCAGTCTCCGGCTCTGAGACATACCTGGGGGCTAAGAGGAACGCCATCCCGAAGTCTGCAAGTGGAGAGGAGGGAGGAGGGAGGGGGTGGTAGGAACTGGGGGCTCACCTGCTCACGGGGGGCGCAGAACGGCAGAAGACCCGGCCTGGGGCCGGGGGGTGTGGCAGAGATGGCCCCCCAGGTGGGCGCGCGCAGCTCAGGGAATCGGCGGCAGCGTCTATTTCAGAGTTTATGGTAAGAGGCTGGAGCCGCACACGCTCAGCACCGCAGACAACACACCCCACCCTTTAAGGAAGTGGGGAGGCGAGCAACAGGGGTGTGGTTAAGTCGGAGGAGGAGAGGGGAAAACACAAACCTGTCAGCGCCCTTACTGAGCGGAGGCCTCGGGAGTCGCCGAGAACCCCGTGAGCAGCGCCCCTCACCTGCCCGGCCCCCGCCGCTCCTGTGCCGGCCGCCGTCCCCGCCGCACCTGGCCGAGCCGAGGAGCCGCCGCCCGGGCCGGCGCGTCCCTGCGTGTGAGTCCCTCCCGCGATCGCGGCTGAGCGTCCGGCCAGAAGTTGGAGGCTGGCCGAGGTGGGAGGGTTGGGGAGTGACTCCGGGATTATGGGGACCCGGCCGGCGCCGGCGCCGGGAGTTCCTGGAAAAGGAGCCACGGAGGACCCAGAAGTGGGAGCCGCGGGCGCGGGGAGCTCCCGGCAGGGAGCGGGCTTCTATTTTTGGAGTGAATTTGAGACTAAGGGGTCCTCATTTCGGACTCAGACGTGGGGTGGGGGTGTGGAGGGAAGGCTGGGGGATGATGAGAGGGCACGGAAAGGCCGGCTGCCTCTAAAGGTCAGGCCAGAGAGCTCTCAGAATCCAGCTTCAACTCCTGCCTTAGAGCCCCTGCCCGCGTCCTGCTCTCGCCCCTTCCCCGAGCCCGGCAGCCCGCCCACCCTGGTCACGTCCCCGCGGACCCTCCTCTGCTCCCCGCAGTGGGTTCCAGCCCCGAGACGGCACCTTCCGAGTCAAGCCCGGGCGGACGTCACAGGGCTCTGCAGGGGGTAGTGGCAGAGCTCTGAGGGGTGTGTGTGTGTGTGTGTGTGTGTGTGGCGTGCGTGTGCGCGCATGAGTGCGTGTGAGCCCGTGTGTGGCCTGGGGACTAAACGCTCGCCGCCACGCTGAGTCTTTGTGAAACTCCTTCGCAATGCCCATAAAGGGTTAAGTTCTGTGCCTTCTCTGCCTGTCAGGCTGTGCGTGGGCAAAGCCTTGGGTGGGTGAACAGGCAACATATGGGAGATGTTCTGAGCCCTCCGAGGCCCGCCACCTGCCCTAACCCTCAGCCATCTGACACTCGTGTCTCCCCACACCCCAGACTTGGAGCTCAATCCATTGAGGCTCCTCCAAGGGGCTGGGGAAGAAGAAGAGCAGAATTTTGCACACAGAGTGGGCATTGGCCAGGGGGGTAGGAAACCAGAGGAAGAGCTTTCTCCGGATCCGTAACTGGATGTAACTGGACATGAGCCCTGGGGCAGTGGGTGCGAAATGATCACAGAAGGGGCACGAGGAGGCCCCTCCCTTGTGGCCGAGGAATGCAGCCGTGGACCTAACCCCAGCCTTTCACAACTTCTCTAGGGGGAGGGCGAATTGGAGGCCGAGATGAAAAAGTGAGAGAAGATGGAGGGAGGGAGGGAAGTAGTCACATCCAAGAGACCAGCTCTGCCAGGACACTGCTCTCATTCCTTCACTGAGAAGCATTTGCTGGGTTCCTACCTGAGGCCGGGTGCTGGCTCTAGGTGGGCAGGGGGGAGCAGGGAGGCTATGGTGCGGGGAACCCAGCCCCTCCGAGAGCCCCGGGCAGTGCGGGGAGTGGCGGGAAGGGATGGGGCAGGTACTGACCAACCCAGGGCTGGGGGTTGTGGGAGAAGCCGGTCAGGGTGTCCAGGAAGGCTTCCTGGAAGAAGTGACTCTAAGTGGCGACCTGAAGGATCAGTAGAATGAGCCACAGAGGGGAAGGAGGGCAGAGCAGCCCAGAGCACAGCAAGTGCTGAGACCCGAGGCCAGAAGCAGCATGATGCACCCAGGAAATTGAAAGTAGCCGTGCGCTGTCAGCGCGTGGGAAGTGCAGGGTGAGTTGAGAGGTGGAGGGCTCCAGGAGGGCCTGCTCTTGCTGCCATGGCAACTCCTGTCCCTTGGGACCTGGAGCCAGCAGCCTCCAACTCCACTCAAGGGCGGGGCTGGAGAATTTGGCAAATGAAAATGCAGGACACTCAGATTTGAATTGCAGATGCACAATGAATATTTTTCAAGGATGAGTATGTCCCATGCAATATTGGGGGCATACTTATACTAAGACATAATTCACTGTTTAGCGGAAATTCAAATTTAACTGGGCGTCTGATATTTCATCTGACAACCCTCCTCTAGGAGAAGGAAGGTTGAGGGCGCTCCTCTGCCTGGGGTGCGCCCAGGCACCAGGAGTCTCAGCCCATGTTCACTGGTAACCCACTCTGGGGTTCCTTCACTGACTGGCCCTGTTATTTCTTAAAAAACCGAAAGAGACCCCAAAACCCCGTGCAATTCCTTGGTCTTTGGAGCTGGATGGACCTGGATTCAAGTCCCAGCTGGGCCACTTGCTTGATGTGAGGCCGCACAGAAGCCCCTTAGCTCCTCAGAGCCCCAGAATCTCTTTTCAGAAGAAAGGACACGAGTATCCGTTTGTTCGGGTTTTGGGACACATCCATAGTGATGCATGTGCGTTGCCCAGGGAGGGCTGAAGAAAAGTGGTAGATAGTCATCTGCGTAGCATCTTCACAGGGGTAACCAAAGCCACATTCCCCAAGTGCTTGGGGCTCGTGTGTTTCTGTTTATATTTATCAAACACTCAGAGGCCCCCGAGGAAATACATGGAGAGGGTTAGCTCCTGAGCAAAGGAGGAGAGCCGGGGTCATTTCTTCAGCTTCGCCACTGATCTGCTTCCCAGATGACCTCCTTCAAAGGGGGGAGGTACCCAGCTCTTCTTCTGGAGGATGGACAGGGCCTGGAGGAGGCGGCGGGGGGGGGGTGGTGACTCAAATTAAAGCTAACTGAAGGGAAACGTGAATGAATTAAAAGGGAGAATCCACACAGGGAACTGTATTCAGTACCTTGTAATAGCCTATAATGAAACAGAATATGAAAAGGAATATATATATGTATGTTTGTATATAACTGAATCACTGTGCTGTATGCCAGAAATTAACACAACGTTGTAAGTCAACTCTGCTAAAATTAAAAAATAAAAAATAAAAAAGGAAAGGTCCAGGATCCAGGTGAAACACCTAGCACAGTGTCTGACTCAGACAAACATGCCTTAAAATTTAGCTGTCAATAATCCCATTTTTATAATGAGTGCCTTATTAGAAAAATAGAGCTCAGGGTAGGTGAAGTAAGGGTGCCTTGTTTTGACTTTAAGGGGGGCACTTGTGAGAGCGAGTTAGGGGCCTCCTAAAAGGGAACCGGGTGGGAGTTAAGAATCTGTTAAGAGAAAGAGGAAATGGAAAGTGTGTTTCCCTTCTGGGAACCGTTGGGTTAAAAATGGTCCCTCTTTCCAGTGGGGAAACTCCCCATCCCCCTGCCTAGTGAAACATTTTGTCCCCAGCTCTTTAGAGCAGCGTTTGCTAAACAGTGTTCAGAGAAACTCTGTGCGGTGAGGTAGTTACAGGGGTTCCACTGGTGAGACGTTCAGGTGAGCCTGCACTCAGATCTGTCATGTGTACTTGTACGATCAAGGCTGTGATCATGCAGAAAAGACACCTGTGTCGCTGGACTTACTAGCATTCTCTAAGCTAGTAGTGGGTTGGGGGCGGGTACCTAGTACCATCTCAAGGGAAATAGCTCTCCACATCTAGGGACTGTTGATGTGGGTGCAGTTCTGGGACCAAGCAGATCTTTCCATGGACATTATTATTCGTCTCATAACTCTAGTCCATATAGACTCAGCAGTGTCCAACCTACCAAAGATCTTCAGGGACTGAGTACCGTGTGCCCCGTCCCAGCATCGCGCATCCCTCATGCACACAGACCCCTACTTGTGTCAGCCTCCATCTTCCTACTGCAGCCCACGCCCGTTTCCCATTCAGAGGACCCTGGGGAAAGTATGTCTCTTAGCACGTAGCCCTCCGCGCTGATGGCTGCAGTGTTGTGTGTTCTGAGCACTGCTAAGACAAGTCCAGCTGAGGGAGAGGAGGGGAGGGAACACACCTTGCATGAGCCCCGCGTGGTTGATCTCCTGATCCCTAGTTTTCTCCCTGCCCCAGGAGTCACAGGCTTGGGACCATGTGGTCCTGGCCTCCCAGATGAATGGAGCTCTCAGGTAGTCACATGGTTGGAGTGGAGATGGACAGTTGCTGACGTGCTCAGGCAGAGGGTGGTGATTAACAGACATTCCTGTTGCTTGGTGGCCCAGTGGTCCAGTGCCCGGACTTGGTCGGTCAGCATGGGTTCCAGCTCCAGCTCTGGGACCCTTTGGGTGACCGTGGCTTACCTAAGTTCTGTTGTCCTCTCTTCCTCATCTCTGAGATGGAGATGACAACAGGGCTTTTCGTGAGAGAATACCAGGAGTAAAAGTTGACATGTGAACCGTCGCTAAGGCATGGGCAGGGATCTAACAGAACTGACCCTGCTGAGCCTGTGGTCACCAGGAATCAGGGGTGGACGAGGCAGGCGGGCAGGGTGCTGCGGTGGTGGACATTTACCAACTTGTGTGGACTGTTCCAGTACTGTCATGTCCCAGATGGCCTTATGCACCAGCTTAATAGCCTTGGCTGCATTAAACATTCAGCCCTTTGCAGGCACACAGTAGGCATCTGACAAATGCTAGCTCTCCTCATGGTTATTTTTATATTTAGAGTTAATCCAAGCTGGTGGGGAGGGGCAGAGGATGGCTTCTCGCGTGGGCTCTCTCACTGACACACGTGACATACACGACAGGATTTGCTTCCTGCCCCAAATCTGAGTCCCCCTGCCCTCAATTCACTGTGTCTGTGAACACCCAGGCCCCACTGGCTCTTTAGCCAGCACAGAGACATTCTGCCACTGCCCGTCGGACCCTGGGGTCCCCATGGTCATCAAAGGTGCTCAGACAGCTGACAGGCAGGAGAAAACGGTGGCTTCACTTTCCGGGATCTCAGCACCCAGCACAAAGCTCTGAGCTGTGCGAGGGGGTGGCGGCGGGGGAGGGGGCAGCCTTTGAGTCACTCTGCTGTTTCCCAAGGTATAATTATTACTCACGATGACAGTTCGATTAAGAGAGCAGACTGGAGACTGCGTATTCCAATGATGCACTTTTTACCTAGATGGGTGGATGGGTGAGAGGGCAGGAATTTGCTTCCGAGTGACCCCCAGGTCGCCCGTGGGTGGGCTGCAGACCCCAGCTCTTACCTTTCCCAGCGCTCAAGGCAGCCGGTCAACGTGATTAGAACTCAGATCAACCACCGCCAAGACCATGGAAGGGGAGCCTTCCCCTTTTCTGTCCTGGTGACAGCTCACTAACATTTTCCTCCTTTCCCATCCCCTTCTTCCCATTTATGTCCTGAAACCCACCCACGCAGAACCTGGCACCATCACTCACTAGACAGGCGCTCAACAGGATGCCCTCGCCCGGAGTTTGGAGCTTGCCACTCGGTTTAGCGCTCGTCTCGTGACCTCGTCTCCCTTTCAATAGGCCAAGTCTCCCAGCAACTTTGAGGGCACCAGGACTGCAGTCTTTGGCCCTTCCTTCTCTGAGGGTCTTCCAACTGGGTCTCTCAGGCTCCCCAGCCCTTACAATCCCACTGGACCCACACAGGCCCTGGGGAATTCTGCCCTGAGTTTGGGTTTTGCTCTTCAGGGGGAAGGAGCACCATTTCCCCCTGTGAGAGAGCAGTTCCTTCTCTGGTCCTGGGCACTTGGAGCATCCCATCTTTCTCTGGTTTCTAATTAATATCGTTTGCTCTGCCCCCTACCTCCTCCCTAGCCTCAAGCAGTCTCTCCCCAGTGTTTTGGGGACCATTTGGAATGAGAACCCAGCTCCTCTCTTTTCAGCTCCAGTACATTCTCCACATCCCCAGTTCCTGCTCCAGGCAGCTTACTAGAGATCTGATACTCCAGCACCTTTGAGGATGCTCTTACCAGCATCGTTTTATCTTCTGCCCGCTATTTACACGGGTGCTGGGCACTGAAACACAACAATGTCCATCTAGGCCATCGTAAGTGGCTGCCCCGAGCTTAAGTTCCCAAGCCCCCAGCCCAACACTGGCAGTTTGTCAGCGTGGGTGAGTGGAAAGGAGACACAGCTCTGGTTTAGAGTCTTCCGCTTGCTAGCTGTGTGACTTCGGGCAAGTCGCTTCACTTCGCACATTTGAACATGAAGACACCGCAGCGCACCCCTGCGATGGTCGTTGGGAGAAACACTTGCCTTGTGTGAAAAATGCCCCGTAAAAAGGCATTTTTCAGGCAGGACCCCTGGAAAGATGAAGAGTTTCGGGTCAGAAAGACATGAGTGGAGCCTTGGCCTGTCACTCTTGCTTCGTTATGGAAGCCCTCGGAGCCTGAGTTTTCTCATGGGTGACTCATTCTCATTCTCCCACCTCGTCACTCACAGTATAGTCTTCTCTCCCCAGGTTTGAGGGCCTATCTCCTCAATGAGTTTACAGTCTGGTAGGGACATGATACATAAAGGTGAATAACTGTAAGGCAGGATGGGGACTTCGATGCCATGAAAAGGGGCACCAATAAAGTGCTATGAGGTCAGAGGACGGAGAGAATTCTTCTGTCTGGGGAGTCTGGGAACGCTTGCTGGAGGAAGTGGCATTTGCAAAAGTTCTCAAAGGATGGCTAGGGTCTGGCCACAGAAACTTAAGGTGGTGGTTGTCATCAAAAAGTGTAAATAAAAGGGAGGTGGGAAGGCATGGTTTGAATGACCCATTTTGGCTTGAACCAAGAGTATCAAAGGGCATTAAAGATAAGGGTGGGAAGTAAAGATAAGGCTCGAGCATGGTGGATGAAGGGTTTGGACATCATTCTAAGGCTGTAGGGAGCCACTGGACTTTATTCTGAAGGCTGCAGGGAGCTGTTGAGATATGAACTTGGGCAAAGGGGCCATGATCAGATTTGGGCAGCAGCATGTAAAGTGAATCGGAGAGAAGATTTTGACCTTGCAGGAGGAGCATGTTGGAGGCCAATATAACAGTTACTGTCTCAAGAGTCTGGGTAAATTATGTAGTTCATAATGATTTGGGG